TATGTGTGTGTAAATTTGTACCAAGAAACAGTTCCTGATAAGATGCTTTGTGCTTAAATCTTATGTGGTTTAATGGTCGTTAGTGAATCAGAATAATGAATGGAGGAGCCAACGATGCCATCTGTTCTCGTCTTTCATTGATAGGACGTATTGATATGTCACTCTTTGTAGACAATTTTTTAGTAACTATAAATTTGTACCTTTGCTTTAATACTGTTATGTGGAATTCAGGTTTTATGACTTTTGTTGTAACCCTTTTATTTGAAATGTGCTTTTGCTATTTTAGATAGTCCTTGCAGTCCTTACAATATGGAAGTTAGTAAGTGCCTAAGTTGTCATGGAAGTGACATGATAAACTCGTGAAGTTGGAATGCTTGAAATTCATGAACTGACTAGTTTTTATTACTGTGATACTTTTACCCGTGTTTGTTCACTGTACATAATTTTTTTTTTTCGAGATAAAAAGGAAGTATATTAAGTACAGACACCAAGGGGGTGTCCCCCCTGTACAACATAATTAAAAGTCACTGTACATAATTTATTATTACCTTTTTGGGTTCCTCCTTGCTTCTGAACTTTTGGTTTGGTATTCCTGTTCTAAATCTATGTTTTGCTTCATATGCTGTTTTGCTTCATATGCTACAGTAAGCTTCAGAGTGATGCACTGAGGGAAGCTATCTCCACCATTGTGAATGCTTCAAAAGAGAAAAAGCGGAACTTCACTGAGACCATTGAACTCCAGATTGGGCTAAAGAACTATGATCCCCAAAAGGACAAACGTTTCAGTGGTTCTGTGAAGTTGCCACACATTCCTCGTCCAAAGATGAAGGTCTGCATGCTTGGAGACGCCCAACATGTGGAAGAGGTAAGATTCTGCTCTATTTGAATGTGATAAAACTGTTGGTTCCACTTCTCTCCTCCATATGGTCTCCTTAAATGCAATGAATTTTTGTTTTGTCTTCGAACTTTTTTTCTGATGGTTCTTTCTTCTAATGAGTTGGTAATGTTTTGATTTTGGTGTATACTGTTCTATATTTTCTAAGATTTCTCATCTAGTGATTGTTGGCTGCCAAGGCTAAGCTTTTGGTGTTTTAAATTTTGCTTGGTTTTGAACCTTCTGTCTTTGGTTTTTTTTTAAACAATAAGGAGAGGTTTGTGTTAGCGTAGGTTAGTTTTTATATTCACTTTATGTTCAATTAGAACTGAAGGTTTTTTCGTTGACATAATTGCTGCAGGCAGAGAAGATAGGTTTGGATTATATGGATGTGGAAGGCTTGAAGAAATTAAATAAGACCCCTTAAATCTCATATCAATGAGACTAAAATTAAATAAGACATTGTGAAAATGTTGAAGGTCCATTATCTTACTCAATTATCATATTTTTCATTCTAAGTGATAATCTAATAAAAACGATCCCCTAACATCAAAGATAGTGATACTCGTGCTTTAACATCCATATCAACTCTCATGTGCAATATTTTAGTTAAAGGATTTGACCACTCATAAATACATGTTGACCATATTCTTTTCTAGTCCTTATATCCATATATTAAATCGATGCTAGAGAATGATTACACTTGTGATGTCCTCCCTTTACAAAACATGAAGATCTCATGTTTAATTACTGATAATGACAATATAATTATCATAAACTCTATTCTAGTAGTTAAATTTCTTTAAGTTTCATTTCATCCTTTATTTCTGGCATCCATTAAAATT